TTTTCCCCTCATCACCTGAGTGTGTATATACATATATACATACATATATGCATATACATATACATATGCATATATATATATACACACACACACACACACACACATATATATATATATATATATCCTCTTCTTATCTTGGTTATTTTGGTGCAATCTTCACTGAGCCTATATGAGAATCAGTGTGATGTACTGGGAAGAACACTGACTTAAGAGCCAAAAGGATTTCAGCTGAAACCTTTTTTTTTTTTTTTCTCAGAGACACAGATTTATTTAGGAAGGTAGATACACATTCAAGGGAGATCGCAGAGTATCTCAAGAGAGAGATGTGTTTTGGGGTAAAGGAGGAAAAAAATCCATTCAAGGGAGAATACAGTCCATCTCAACAGAGACAGCTTGAACCGAATCTTAACAATGTCGGTTTATACATCCTTCACTCACAAAATTTCCCCATTTGGATTATAAACTGTCATTACTCTAAATAGTCTTTATATTTAGTTAATTTCTAAATCTGTTATAATTATTGGTCCACTATAAATACTCAATGAAACATAGGCATAGTTTAACAAATATAAATGCAACCCAACTTTCTTAGCATCATCAGGAAAGTTTTACTCTGACTTCAACAGAATGATAATAGTTATTGAGAAAAAAATGGGGTAAGTCTACTGATAAACTATTGAAATGGCAGGAAGTAGGCACTTGCCATTCCATGAAAAGAATAAAGACATAGGCACAAACACAATGCTATTTAACCCAGATTCCATCCCTGCCTGCCAATCATTAAGAAAACTTCTGAATTACACTTGTATGGGGAAAAAATGATTTTCAAATTACCCAGAAGAAATAAGTTTCTATCTCATGAAATGAATATAGCATGCAGTCCAAGGAAAGGAGGGGTTCTCTTTATTGAGGAAAAAAAGTCCACCTGCAAGTAGCAACAATAATGGTCACCCCTTTATTAGTGGCCCTGTATGCCAAGCACTGGGCCTGGCATGTTAGTATCTGGTCTCATTTTTCAACCCTATACCACAAACAATATTTTTAGACACATTCTACTGAAATGTGAAATGTCTTAGGGATATTGTATAGCTTGTTTAAGTTCACACAGCTAGTAAGTCATGGAGATGCAATTTTAATTCAAGTATATCCACTTTCAAAAGGGACAGAGACCCCAGAAACACGCCCTTTCCAAGTCTTTGTATGCTCAAAAATTAGTGTTTGTAAAGGTGGATATATACTGAACACAAAGAGAAGAATTCTGTGAGACTGTGGGTTAGTGTGTAAACGATCATGAATTTCATTCACCTCTTCTGCATGTAAAGTAAGAAGTCTTTTGGAAAAAAAATCAACTCCAATCAAAATTGATTCCACTTGTGAAGTGAAGGATGGAATGACAAAGAATCTCACAACAGAAACTTGCCTTTCTAACCCTTACCTCAAAACACATTATTTCAGGGTTAAGGAACAGCCAGATTCAGCCCATCAGGCACACCTGTTGGGTTTATAACCCACCCGCCCTTCCCACGACACCAAATAATTAATTCACCCAAGAAACTACTTTTGCCTTGTTTTTGCTTTTGTTTGATGGCATGATTCTTAAATGTTATTAAGGCCATAAAATATGAAAAAATATTTATTTTAAATAGATAAGAGTTTAAAAGATAAAGTTCAGGGGCTGGAGTTGTAGCTCAATGGCACAGCACTTGCCTATCACATATGAGGCCCTGGGTTCGATCCTCAGTACCATATAAAAATAAATAAATAAAATAAAGGTATCATGTTCATCTATAACTTAAAAATTATTTTTTAAAGTTGAGGGCAGATGTCCAGCAGAAATTACCACAAATCCAACCTTAACAGACTTATGAACAGCCAGCTTAAATCAACATCTGGGAGCTGGGGTTGTGGCTAAGTGGTAGAGCGCTTGCCTACCATGTGGGAGGCACTGGGTTCAAGTCTCAGATATAAGCAAATAAAACCACATATAAGCAAATAAATACATAAAGGTACATCAATAACTGATAAAAATATTTAAAAAAACAAGATCTGCTAGTATCAGACCCACCTGGCCCCCAGTAAGCCAACAATCTAAAGGAGGATATGCAGGAGGCCTTTATCTAGTGAAATATAACCTGGACTATAACTGATACCAACATGATGAAATATAGTTATTAATAGATAACCCTTTTTTCCCTCTGGCTCCCTAAAGATTCTGGAATAGAAATCATGCCACAGAATGGCAGTAATATTTGCAGCCAAAAATGCACTATAACCAGAGTGCTGTCACTCATGAAGAATGCAACCTCAGGAATTATTTAAACTCTATGACCATTAATGGACTCATTCAAAATTAGTATGAAGGTTTCAGAGGTTTTTATTAGAGTTAGGTGTGCCATGTCAGATAATAAGAACTAATAATTACTAAGCATTTACTATGTGCCAAGTACTAGGTGAAGTAAGAACTGCTTGTAGATGAGTAAAGCAAGGCACTAGAATTAAGTAACTGGATTAAATCCATATAATTAGAAATCCACAGAAGCAGGACTTGAACACAAGGAGTCGGCATCAAAACCCATGCTCTTAACCCACCACCCTATAATGTCAAGTATGGAACTTCTATACCAAGGAAAGACTCAATAAGTGAGTCTTAGCTAATTTTATTATTGTCAACATCCCTACCACCACTCCAAATGAAGTCATAAAATAAAATAAAAATGTTCGTACCAAAGAATGCACACTACCTGGGACATGGTTGCAGAAGGTCTCCTTCAACAATGCAGGCCTCTTTCTCTAGAAGTTCTGGACACTCCTTTCCACCCCCAATGGCAATGTGCTTCACCTTCCGGCTCCTGCTCCTAAATCCTGGTGATAGATTCCCTGAACGGCACGTCTTGGAGCAGGGGCTCCAGGAGGTCCACTCGGAGGTTTCACAGTCTTTTGGCATGAGGCAAGGTTGAACAGTCAGCGGGAAGGAGTCCTGCATACAAAGGCTGAAGGACAATAGCAGAAAACATGAGGACAAGATGAAATAAATGCAATCAACATAATTTTAAGTTCTGACCATGAGAAGAAAAAATTTAAATTTAGTGTAAGCTTTAAAGAAGAAGACATATACTTCTTAACAGTGCATCAATGATAGCATACTAGAGGACATCACTTTTAAGAATGTGTACTCTAGGCAGGCTTGGTGGTGCATGCCTATAATCCCAGTGACTCAGAAGGCCAAGGCATGAAGATCACAAGTTTAAAGTCTGCCTCAATATAGCAAAAACCTATCTCAAAATTAAAAAAAAAATAAAAATTTAAAAAGCACTGGGGTGTGGCTCCTTGGTTAAGTATCCCTGGAACCAAAAAAAAAAAAAAAAAAAAAAAAACCCGAGATTGTATACTCTATTTTACTGGAAACAATGAAGCTCTTTTACTTCGGCAAAATACATATGGAATGTGGGTACATCTTATCCCTGTTCAGAGCATTATCAGAAACAACAGAAGTCCTTAATAGGGTGTTTCACTGAGGATGCAGCCCACTATTACCATTTATTGACTGGTTCCCAACTGCGCTGCACTTCACAGGCCACAACAATTATAGGAACTTAGATTTTATTATCTTCATTTTGCAGATAAGAAAATTTAAGTCCAGGAAGGCTATATAACCTGTTCTTCACCAAACAGGTACGGGAAGCTTTAGAGCCATCTACCTATTCCTATAAATATTTAGAAATTTTTAAAATAGGGTATTGATTGTTTCCTCACACTGTTAGGCTCTGAGCATCAATTTCCTAATCTGCAAAAATTGAGTGAAATCAAGTAGACTGAGAGTTTAATTGCAAAATATAAATAATGGGATGAGATAATGTGACATGGTGATGAAGCCAACATAAAAGCATTTATGAGGAAGAGCACCAGTACTGGTAAAGTGGAGATGAATCCAGGGGCAGAAAGGGAGTGTTTAGGGAGAAGGGTATCTGAGCTGCAATTTTAAAGATAAATGGAAGCTTCTTAGGCACAAAGAGAACACTATTATAAGTCAAGGGGCAGCATATGCAAGCCTTGAAATCACACATCATGAAAACGGAAATACTGGAGATGGCTATACATCTCCCAAGAGCCAGCTGTTTAACTTTTAGGAATTTTGCAAGACGCTTGACTATATTTCTGTAACCTGAAATTGGCCAATTTGGGAATATTTACACTACAGAAATTGGCAACTGCTATAAATCAAATCCTCTCTTCCTAACCCCTGAGGATGAATTGTTAAACCTTTACAAGCTCTCTTGGGAAACACTAAAAGCTAATTTGTTTTGCTGAAACTAAGAAATCAGATAGATATTATGAGAGTTCTTCAAAAGCTGGCCTAGAAAGGTTTCACATCATGGCCTAGGAAACATGGATTTGACCGTATGTGCAATAAAATCAAACTCATAGCAAATATAATATTTCAAAACATTAATTGGCATTCTTTTCATCACTTCATTGTTAGCCTTTCATTTTTTACTCAAAGGCATCCATTACTTTGGGAGAAAAAGTATAGTTTTCATAGAAATGTACACTAAAGAAAAGTCAATATTCTAATGCTGACTTCCAAAATTGAGCCTGTGAACTCTAGTAGAATAAGGGGCTACAGTCAATTTAATAATGGCCCCTCCATATGTGCTCAGAGAGAGAAGTCTTAAATTGCTTCCGGGTTCCTAACATGGAAAAACTCACATATAAAGGAGCTACTATTTACAAAAGATAGTAATCAGAAGGGAGTAAAACAAGTTCATACTTGTCCACATTGATGAATAAATTATAGTGAGATTTCCATACTGGCATCCCTCAGTAAGCCATTGACAGTTAATAGGTCATTCCAATAGAAAAAGAGAAAATAACATAAAACAAAATTTTGATACAGTATTTACTTTTGTACAATCTAGTTAGATCATATTAGCAATTCTAAAATGAAAAGAGCAGTATAAACTACATTACCATTAATCCAATGTGGTGTTTGGGGGACCTGGAATAAAAATGCACTAGGAAGAATGTCTCCTGCAAAGCTACACCCAACCACCCAACGAATGTATTGTCACTGTTTGGGGGCACTATGGAGTGGAGTAAGGGAACCACCTCATTCTTTAGTGTGACATAATTAGAAAACTGTCAATCAACGAAGTTTCTAGGTTTTGACTTTTCTGAAACCATTATAATAAGTTCTAACCCTCAGCAACTCGAAATGCAACCTCATTTTTGGAGATAGGGTCTTTGAAGAGGTAATTGATTAAAAATGAGGCATTAAGGTGGGTCTAATGCAAAATGACTAGTGTCCTTATGAGAGGTTATTAGGACACACACAGAAGAAAAATCAAGAAAAGTCACAGAGAAGACAGCCACAAATTGAAAGAGAGAGATCTAAGAAAGGAGTGCTGCCAACACCTCCATTTTTTACTGCCAGATTCCAAAAAATAGGAAACATATTTTGGTTGATTATCCATCCAGTTTGTGCCATTTATTATGGCAGCCTGAGCAAACTAATGCATAAACTTAATAAAGTTTTTCAACGTGTACGTGTTTTTAGAAATGAGTTTCAATTAACAAGATGGACTTTCTTCTTCCTATAAAGTCCAGCAGGATTTAGTTCCCTGTGGTAGAAGTGGTGGCCTGGTTCTTCCCACTTACCAGATTCTACTCCCATCTCTCTCACACAGACTGGACTGTTCCCACTGGAGTCACTAGTCTCCAACAACAAAAGTAAGTGCATGGAATTACACTAAGTGAGGCTTTTGCATTTTGAGAAAGGGATCTTCTTTTGTTTTGAAGAAGTTTTTTTGTTAAGATAAATCATATGTCCCATTGGTTACAGATTTACTTATTTTAATGTTAGCTACAACAATCCATCCCCTTGGTTGAAATGATGAAAACATCAGGCCCCTTCTAATTTGATTAGTAAGATTACATTTAACTGGAATAGAGGAAGGAACAATAGGTGATAAATCACAAATATCTGGATCCTAGATTCTGTATCACAATATAGTAGCATGATTTTAATTTCTTGACTACCTAGTTTTGTAATCTGCACAAGAATAAAATACTAATAAAATGTGATTTGCTCACACCCAAGGGTAGTGTAAGTAGAATCACCTTAAAAACTATAGTCCACAAAGAAAACTGTCCAGAGACAGAAATGGGAATCAATTATTTCATAGAAGGCAGGTGTGTCTTTTTAATGAAACAGACACTCAGACACTGTTGATTTTTCTTTTAAACAGGAGATGCTATGGTAATTATACCTCCTTGACATTTACAGAGCATGCTGTCTTCTGTAAATTACTTCGCAAGTATTCAACTGTAAAGAGAATCTTTGAAACCTAAAAATTACTATAGTTTTTTTTTTTTTTTTCTTTCTGAAAATATAAGGAAATCTCTCAACTTACAAATAAGGTCAGAAACGCTTCCAAAATAAAAAAGAGTAGTGAAGTACCCCTAATTCATTAGTACTTCAGTTACCAGCACTTTAAAACAATATTAAATATTTCAAATATACAGAAAATAGATTAATAAAACAAATACTCTGATATCTTTCAAGTAAATACTAAGGTTTAGATTTAGCTCAAAATTTTCTCATATAAATTTTTTAAAAATTACAAATCCAGGAAAATTCACATTATCTTTGCAATTGTAGTTACATTTCTGTTTTCCATTATATGACCACTATTCTCAAATTGTTTTGTTTTGTTTTTGTTTCAGGGCCAGGGCCTTGCATGTGCTAGGCAAGTTCTCTGCCACTAATCCCTAACTCCTCAAATTGATTTGCATTATTTTAGATTATATATTACACTTTAAATAAATATACATATATTCATAAGTAGCAAATAGCATTGCCACAAGTTTCTTAAAACTTGAATCAATATTATTTTGTTACACCACTTGTCCTAGAAAATATTTTCCTTGTGTAATAATGTGACTTCTAGATCTACGTGTTAATAAATATGGATAGAGTTCACTTATTTTTATTGCTGACTTATATTCTAATATGCAGCAATTCATTTATTCATTCCCCAATTAGGGGCTCTTTGGTTGTGCTCAATGTCTTGCAATTCCACAGGTAATGTTTTGAACCTCCTTGTACATGTAAGAGATACTATTATTGCCTAGAGTTGAGTCATGAATACTTGCATTCTCAAATGTATTAGATATGATCTTATTTCTCCTTTCCTACCTGTTCTCAGTTCTTGGTATTCTTGAACTTACTTTTCAAAAACATTGAGAAAATTCATTTCTTTTCCAGATTACCATTGAGCTTCATGTTCTCTTCATCCCTTTAGTGATGACTCAGATTTTCTAATCTGTGAATCCGCCCACAGTGCCTGCATATTGGGGCATGCAGAATAATGGCCCCACTCCCTCACCACCCAAGATGTTCACAAGTACTGGCTGGAATCTGTGAATATGTAACCTTATGTGGCAAAGGGGGTTTTGCAGATGTAATTAAGAATCCTGAGTTGGTTTGATAATTCCAGAGTATCCAGGTGAGCCCAAAGCTATCACAGAGTTCTTGTAGAATGAGAAAGAAGGGTCAGAGAGTCAAAGAAGGAGATGTGAAGATAGAAGCAAAGGTTGAAGCAATGCAGGGTCTCTGAACTGAGGAATGTAGACAGCTTCCAGATGCAGGAAAAAGCTAGAAAATGGCTTCTCCCCAGAGCCTCCAGAAAGAAGATGCATTGCTTTACCTCCATTTAAGATATTTTTTTTTATCTGTTATGTTTCTACCTCTATTTTTTTCTTATATTTCCCACAATTAGTTTTTTGATTTTCATGTGATATGTTATTGTGGCAAAAATGTTAATTCCCCTTGTTCAGCCTTTCCTCTTGTAGCTTGTGCTTTTTATGCCATACTTTGGAATTTTCCCCTATCCCAGTACCATAATGTCATACTCTCATAATTTTTCTTCCAGAAAAAAATTTTATACCTTCCTTCTTCATTATTTAAATCATCAATTTGATATTCATCTTC